AGCCCAGAGTCGGTTCCGCAGCGCACAGTTTATGTCCAGTGCCGACTTTCAGTGCCAATACAGGAAGTAGTGTTCCTTTTATTTAACAAGGCAGAAAGGTGTGGAGATTGGGGCAGTGAATGTATATGTTGTGTATCTGACATGAGGGAGACTAGAATTAGTGTCCCATCACAGACCAAGCATCAGTTGTTTGGGTTTAACTTTGTACCTTGCTCCAGTGATGTAGAATGTACTCCAAGGGGTTTGGAGGACACTGTGGTGTCACTATTGGGTGGTGGTTAGTGGTGCAACAGACCACAGTTTTGACCCCCAAACTTTTCAGCCAGAGAGGGCACTGTTTTTTGTCCTGGAATTAAGCTACTCTTTAACCAAATGTTTTTGATGCCTAAGCTTAACCACACCTTAACTGTTGCTAGGGACAATGGCAATAAAAGTTCAAAAATGTCTCAATGCCATTGTATTTGTTGACTGTCAGAGGTTTTAAAATGTGTAATTCCCAGTTTTAACCAACTAATGTTGATGTATTGGTATGTAAGTCATGCACAGAAACTGACGTTTGAGGAAATTTGAGTTCCTCAGTGGCAACATGACTTAAAGGGTCATTTTCATATATTTTCAGACTCAAAGTAAATCCCAAGATTCAACTTATGAGTGAAGGCAGAATTGCTGAAGGCAAAGGCAGTGGCTCAGCTGTAACTTTATTATTTGTTTTGCAATCTCTGTGTCTTTATACATTCTGCCCTCTCACGGTCAGAAATCAATCAATGCAGCAGTTTTACGGCCAGCAAAACTATTAATATTACACCTATTGTTGTGCCTATGCAGCCAGTGATATGCAATTTACTATGTGACTCTTTTTTTTTAAAGAAAATAAATAAACAAATCTGTACATTTAGTAGTCTGATTCCCATGGGTGAATCTAAGTGATAATAGTTGTTGAAGTGCCCCAAGCTAATAATATAGCCTTGACAGGGGAAAGGTGATTGGCATAGTCAAAGTGTGTGTGTGTGTGTGTGTGTGTGTGTGTGTGTGTGTGTGTGTGTGTGTGTGTGTGAGAGAGAGAGAGAGAGAGAGAGAGAGAGAGAGAGAGTGACTGGATGATTATGTGTATGCGCATTGTCAAGAGAGGCAGGAGGTTAATTCAATCCTATAGAAACGCAGCATGGAGGGGATTGGACAGCACAGCCCTGAGGGTGTCACTGGCCTCAACCCCAATAGGGGGCAGAAAGCGTGCATACACACACACACACAAACACACATACACACACACACACCCTAACACAATATGGACCCTGTGACTTAAGGGCATAAAATCTGAAAAGCCTTGGAAAAGCCAGATTGTTTTTATATCTAGTTTCTGGTGCATTTAATTTAGAGCCAAGGAGGATAAATGATGAACATGGATTAAAATATATATATATATCTATTTATAGAAAATGCTGCATAAAACAAGGACAAGAAAGAAGAGGACATTTAGAGAAGAGTGGTGATGGAGGACGGTAAGAGGGATTGAGGGCATGGGGAGGAGAGAAGGGAATAGAGTGAATGAAGGGACAAATGAGTGGTGCCTATCGAGAGTGGGATGTGTGGGAGAGGTGTATGAGTGGAGGACAGAAGTGACCAAAATAGAGTGTAGACAGCAGGATGATTCAAGTGACTGAGGAAAATGGAAAAGAGTAAGTCTGTAAACTCGCACCAACACAGCAACATGCAGTCTTCAGTCGGACCAACATAACTGCCAACTAAGCATGTTGCTGTGGTGTTTCTGAGATTTAATGTAAATTCATATTTGATGCAAGCTATTGTTTATTACATTTGAAAGGTGGACTGCAAAGACAGATGTGAAAAAACATTGCTCTTTCATCCCCTCTCATAATATCTTTAGAAAAAACATTATTGACTGGAGGGAAGTTACTGAGCTGGAAATGTTTTGATGCCAGCATCTCACAGCCATTGTGATGTTGCATCCTAGGGCACTCCCAAACTAGCTTCAGTTTTCAGCCATGGTGTTGTTCTCTTTATTAGTATCATGGCCCTGTGGGGCACATGGCCTGTGTAGCCAAAGCCAAAAAAACATATACATAAACTCAATGTTGCACCTTTAACCAAAACACACAGAAAAAAAAAAATTGTTCTTGAATGCATCAGTCGTGTGTGTGTGTGTGTGTGTGTGTGTGTGTGTGTGTAACATTTCCACATGGACAACCTAATATTGTTTTTTGCTAAAAAAAACCACATAGCCCAACCATCAATTTATTCCACTTTTCCTAATCAGCAGCGAGGCCAAGGATGTCTCCATACATATTCATGGTGCTCTGGAGACTCAGAGAGAGGGTACATTTACAGCCTACATTTACCATATTACCCTTAATGGTATTAGACCAGGAAACACAATTTAACCAAATATAAGTCATACATAAGTAATTTAGAAAATGAGACAATATTAATTGTGCGATCGTCATCCAGTTTTAATCCCGTTTGTGTGATAGCACTTCAATCTGTGGAATTGAATGCGCCTGGCAGAATAAATTAGTACAATCAATGTATGACTACATTCTCCGTCATGTGGACACACTCTGTGAAAATCTATGCAAATGTCTTATGAGGAGAGGATAAGAGAAACTCTTCTTAGCTAACAAAGCTCTTGATGATCATAGCCTATCTGACACAGTGGTGGGATGTCATTTTCATCCTCTCAGAGGAAAAGAAAGGAGAAAAAGGAAGAGAATATGATGAGGGATACTAAAAGAGATGGTTTTAAACTCTTTTCTGGGTGAATGTGTCACTATCTACTATGTCACTAACTGTTTTTCTTGATGCCTTTAAGCATTATATCATTTAGTTGTCTACTGAAGAAAGCCAGGTAACTCACACATGTGCTATCATGACAGTTTTTCTATTTTCTTCAAATGTATGTAGATATAATACGCAGTATTTGACAGAAACCATTATTTTTTAAACAAATATTTCAATATCAAGTTCATAGTTTTCCTCTTCCACTATCCATTTTCTCCTTCCTCCCTCCTTTCAGTTTCATTCTCCTCCTTCATCCACTTTCTACTTCCTCTTCTCTCCTTCCCTCTTTTGCTTACTGCCTTCTCCGCCCCTTTCCTCTCTACCTCTATCCTAGCCCCTAGCCACCTCCCCTCTCCTCCTCTCCCCTCCCTTTGCTCTCTCTGCCTGGTATTGATTAGAAGGCGAACCTCTAATCTCCTTAAGGTCATTAGGAACACTTAATTAAAACCTAGTTAGAACGCCTTTGTTCAACCAAAGCAAATTGCAGCTGTTCAAATGCGATTAGTATGATAACGTACAAACTTGTCGGCTGGGAAAAATATAAGAGAGGGTCTTTTTTGTGGTAGAAATGTTTACACAATTTAAATGCAGAGCGCTTAAACACACAGTGGAAGTCTAAACTACTGTATACTTGAGCTAGTGCTTCTGCTGTGTGAGTGTGTGTGTGTATGTGTGTGTGTGTGTTGGGGGATTGTTTATATTTTACAAGTGGATGTTCAGCTTTTTGAAAGTAGAAGATTTATGCATGTAACTGGCTTAAGTTAATGTAAGAAAAATGTAAAAATACATTAGGCCTGAAGGAAAACAAAGAAACAGGTATCCATGTTTATGAAAATGTATCCCGATCTGTATATCACATCATATTATATAATATCATATCAATAAAATTAAAATACAATCTGTCAAAGATTCAGTCTGTAATCTTCTGCATACGGACAGTATTAGTCCATATACAAACCTATCCCCACCTGGGATACTACTGCTGTTTTTATGCATTTATTCCAATGCTGGCTTAGGTTACCTGAAAAAAAAAGGTAAACATACAATTTAGAACATTTGAATAAATTGGTTGTTTTATAGGCCTGAAGTAAAACAAAGAAATAGGCAAAAATGCATACAGGGTTTCATCACAGGCACATAATATAATTTGTAATTAATAGTTAATTGTTACCAAGGTCCAATTAATAGCACACATAGCAGTGCATCCCTGGTGACTGCCATTAAATTGCTGACAGGGAAAGACACCTTGCCAGCTCCTTTGCCTCTTCTTTAATTCCTGCAAGTTAAAGGGCCTCCTTTAACATCATCCTCTATTTCAGGTTTTATTTATTAAGTTACTATATGCTATGTACACATACCATGAGGAAATACTGAGCATGGAATGACATTTAAGCTCTGCTGCCCCATCCTTCTTTTTAAAAACTGATATTTTGCTGACTCCTGGTAATTTCCCATAAGTGTGTCTAATTGTATGTGTAAATGTTTTATTAATCGTGGTTTTAATTAATACATATACCCTTACTTGTCTTTTAATGGATTATATTATATTATATTTTCTGTCTGTTGCTTTAATGTCCTTTCATGGATTTTCTTTCATCTGTTTTTGCGGAGTAAAGAGGGTTCTTGTTTCTCAGTGTCTCTGCAGCTCTCTCTCTCTCTCTCTCTCTCTCTCTCCAACACACACACAAACAAACAAACACAAACACACACAAACAAATAAAACAAAGAAATGGGATCTATGCCTTTGTGTAATTTGTTTGTATGTTTTAGTTTGATAACTTATTACTTATTTAACATTAAACGTTCTTACTTATTGTTTGTAGTGGACACATAGAGCATAAATACATTTTAAGTGATTCTCTCCGCATTCTCTAAATGAATGATTTCAATCAATGCACACATCCATCCTTCCCATGCATCCATGTGTGTTGGATTGTTATTGGATGTCACCCTTAAATGGCGATGTAGTATTTTTCATATTATTTTTATTTTGATTTTTTTTTATATTTTATAAATTTGACTCAAAGTCCATCTGATGATTTCCTCCTCACACGCACTATGGCCGCGCGGATCACGGTTGCCTAGCGACGGCAGTAGCGTTCCTCTTTTCCCTGAGAGCCACTTGTCTGAAATGCAGACGCAACCCACGTAGGTGGGGGGTAAAGCATTACTACCAGGCAGGGGGTAATTAGGCTATTTAAATCGCATATTAATGCCTTGCTGTCACAGACAATCTTTAGTGTTGTGTAACAGATACAAAACGGATATGTCGCACTGTTTGTGCCCCCAGGGGTCTCAAGTTTCCGTTACTTGGTTCTCAACTGTGTAACGCTGCATCATCGTTACTTTGTGCCCAATATCCTGCCGCCTCGAGCGCTGCTGTCCAGATGGCGTCTCGCGGTAATCTCCTTACCGCCGCGTGCCGCATGTTCTTCTGAATGAGGGAGGTAAGACAGAGGGGGGAAAAGAGGAGCTTTGTCAAGTTCAGTTGTGGTGTCATTCAGTTTTTTTTTTCTGTCAAAGTGTGGACTAGGACGACGGAAAACATAATGTTTGGAAAGGACTATTTTTTCTACTGGAGCCGTGTCTGCTGTCGCTGACAGAGAGACAGACAGGTGTGTGGGAAAATACAGGTAGCTTGTTTTGCTCGACTCATGCCAGAGCAACAAGTTGAATGTATCTAGACGCTGCACTTGTGATGGGGATAGAGCTTTGTGCTGGGACTCTACAACGACAGGTAACCACAAGGAGCTACCAGATATTTTAGCATGTTACAATATCTGCATAGATTTACAAATTTGTACGGCATATAGCACCCGTTATTAGATACACCGTGAGCTTTCCTGTTTTTTAACGGACACAGCAGGCAACAGGGTCCAAGTAATTCAACACTAGAGATGACTGCACTGCTGGCCTCTTTTTGTGTGTCAAAATGTGAAATTGAAGCTGATAAGTATTGTAATGAAGAGAGCTTTGGCCTAAGCCTCAATTTCCAACAAACTTATGTGAAAACCTGTTCAGTTGGATAAAAACCTGGAGGCCAGATGCCAGAGGAAAAAGGGCATGTTTAATTCAATGGAAAATGAAGAAAAGGGGAAAGCAATGTAGCAGTATCAGTTGAGCTGTGCCTCCATCAAGCTGTACATGATAGTGTAGGCTTTGGCTAGGGAATAGCCTGCATGGCATTTCACTCTCCTCAGATTTGTCTCATGTTGGATTTTGGTCTGACCACGTCTCTCTTTCCTTCTCTCCTTCTCTCTTTTCCCTCTCTAGATTGTGAAATCCTACCTATCATGTGAAGGCTTTGGTTGTGGTTTGTGTGTGGGTGTGTGTGCCAGGGACAGAGACAGTGTAACAGAGAGCTAAGCTTCGTAGCCTCACCCTTGGGGCACTGGCCTGTAAAAAATGTCCCTGTAACCCTGGAACCATGAAACCATGACAGTCATCACTTATTCAAGCGCTGCTGGAAGGCTTCCGAAAAAAATCCAGGTTCTTGAACATCCCTCTGCCTGCGGGAATGTTCCAGAACCCATTTCCGAGATTCTAGAACCTCAGACCATGCTGGACCACTCTGAGAATCCGATTCGGGAACCTTGTGGGGTCAAAGGCCAGAGATGGATTGATGACGAGACAGGAGCAAAGGGAGAGAAAGCGAGAAGTAAGAGACAAACATGGACGAGAGGAGTCAGCAGAGAGAGGATGGATGGAGGAAGGAGAGAGGAGCAGTGTAACTTAAGGAATAAATGCAACAAGGAAGTTAGAAAAAACCTAAAAAGTGGGAGGGCATGTGTGGAAGGAACGCTCAAGAGCAAGACAGATGTCTCGGAGATCCTGTCAGTTGCAGAAACACAAGGTGAAATCAAGCGAAAGGAGCAAGGGATGGGTAAAAAGAAGAGGTGGCCTGTTTTTATCTGGCCATTTCATCTGAGAAACATCACTGAAGGAGAAGTGAAGAGAGGGAAAAACATGATGAAAGGGATGAGGCGACATAACATCTTCCTCTGGTTAATTCTCCTCCTCTTCAGCCTGTGTCCAATACCTGCTTCATCACAGGTAAGAGTGGCTTTCGAGAGCCAGTTGTAATTTCTGATCCAAAGACTGTGGAATAGTGATTGTTAAACAGACAGTGTACTGTGTATGAATTATTTAATAACTATTAAATAGGCCTTTTCCTCAGCAGATGTTTTGACTTGTCATTGTAGGAAAATCACAGGTGTTACTTAAACCATTAACAATGGTTCTGTTCTATTCAAGTGTCCCAGTAACTCATGACAGTGTGACAGTGATCCAGGACCTTGAAACTGAAGCAGCTAAATGGGATTCAGGCATCATTAATTTTATTATTTATGCCTGTGCTTTTCCTACTGTGACATGTCAAAATGTCTTTGGTGAAAGTGGCCTACTGGAAACTTCAAATTAATTAATGTCCATAAAACAGATATCTCCAAATGTAGTCTGTTTTCTCACAAAGTTATTGATGTTTTCTTTGAAAATACTAATATATTTTAAATGTACTGTATACATAACAAAATAAGCTATAGTATATGATAACCCTATTCTGTAACCCATTTTATAACACTTTGAATTAGATTCTCCAAATTGCTAAAAAATATCTTTATAGGTTGTTATTGTATCCTATAATGTCAAAGGCTGGTGCCGCCACAAATAAGTAAAAGTGGCAAGAGACCCAGATTAAATTGAATGATAATACTTGTTAAACCGTCTTCATTCTTAGGGACATTTCCCGCGAATGGAGAACATTGCTGCCTTCAAACCTGTGTCCACCTCCCCGGCTCGTTCCACCTGTGGAGTTCCAGAGCGGCGCAGCTACTGTCAGACACCGTCCTCCCAGTCTGAGCTGATGACATGTTATCAGGCCTTCTGTGTCCAGGAGTGTCCCTATAGATCCTCCACTCCTCCGTATGCCCCACTGCTACTGCCTGCACACAGGTAGGTGATTTATAATAATGTTATTAAGGTATATGGAAAAAAGGAAACATGCTGACTGTATTCTGTGATTGTCAACTTTACTAATAAAATAAGTTTAGTGACACCATAAGAGTTCTCTTGTAATAGAATATCTTGGCATGTGGCATATATTAAGGGATGAAAAACATTTTGAATGTCCTTTTTCAGACAGAATATTGACATATTTAAACCTTATTCCACCAGGGGTACCTGTGTAACAGAAGACATTAATGACACTCGTCCTGGGACTCGGACAGAGACTGGAACCACTTCCAGTTCAGAGGGGGCTTCTGGTAGGTCCAGTAGTGTGCTGTTTCGGCCAGTCCAGGATGGATGTCTGGTCTCTCCCCCCTCACAGAGTCTCGGAGCACTGGGCTCCCTCACTCTGGCATTGTGGATAAAGCCAAGCTCACCGGGGGAGATGTGAGTTTGATTTTTGTAATTTCTAAAAAATGAGATTAATAAGTCAGTTGTAATCAGCAGTCATTTCCATTTGCTTTTACTGTGCTTTACAAAAGATGCTGATGTTGGATCTTAGCTAGCTATTTCTCTCTGGGGAGTCCAGTAAACTCCATGCAGACAGAAGTACATTTTAGGCATCTTTTTTTTATTTAATATCCTGTGGAAAAAAAGCAAAGGTCAGATATGGAGCCATTATTGTAGCAAAACTATTTATAAATGTGAGTGGAGAGATCTGTATATACGTACTGAGATTTGTGAATGTGTACAGGAATCTGCAAATGTGTGTTCAAATTGGCAAGTGGGTTGAGATTTGTAAATATATTGAGATTTGTAAATGTGTAGATATACATATTAATGAATGACAAGTCCAAGTATTTGCTCCAACACCTGAAATGCAGACAATTAATTGGTTACGACTCAGGCAGGACTCTCAATTGGCTCTCTTTATACACAAGACTTTTGGTACACTTCTGCCGTGGCAGAGATCTGCAAATGCGTATGGCGATTTGTGCGTGTGAGGAACGATTTGTCTGAATACAGATTTGTAGATTTTTTACACATTTTACATCTGATTACGTACACACAGATTTTTAAAACACATTTGCAGATTCCTGTACACATTCACAAATCTCAGTACATATTTACAGATTATTTTACACATTTACAAATCTGATTATGCACACATAGATTGAGTTACAGTTACACAACTCGCCACTTACATCTGTAAATAGTTTTGCTACAATAATGGCTTGACCAATAAGAGCACTAAAAAACATCATGTTACTTCTAGCAGGCTTTGTTGATACTTTATTGGTTAGGAAACTGCTCTAACAGTTGTACATGCTGTGTCTCATTCAGCTATGCTCTTCGGGTACCCAAAAACTGACTGGAGCCAGTGAAAATAGTCTTTTTTAAGTAAAAAGGCATATCAACATTTGGCAAAGAACAGACAGTCAGACAAGGTAAAAACCACACCAAGCCAAACCAGCCATTCACTACCTTCTGCCTACCTCTACAGGCAGAAGGTAGTGAATGGCTGGTGGGCAGGTAAAGAAAGGAATGATTGACAAAGCAAGGTTATTTTATACAACACAGTGAGTATCTGTAAATAAATAAACAATGCACATTACCCAAACAAATCAAGAAACGAAGGGTTAGTCTGTTTACCTTTTATGTAGTCTAAATGTTTGTTACACATTTTACAATAATTTAAAGATGAGGTTTATTTGTTGTCCATCTGTCTCACAGTGACATTAAAAGTACTGGCTCCGGTTTGATGCCCAGAGCGGTTTCCCATTGTGACCATGTCCTCTCTATAACATATAGTTCTTAATTCCCTTGTTTCCAGGTAAAGTGCTGTCGTTTTTCAAGTTAGAGGTCTTGTTGAAATTCTACTTGGTGTGAGAAGGTGGAAAAGTGAAAAGAAATGCAGCAAAAAAAAAGAAATGTGGTATTATTCTCATGTACAGTATCAGAGTAGTCCAACATTATCCTGTGCCACTGTGAAATACATATAGCTCCCTGCTGCAAACACGCTACTGCTGTGATGTCTAGTCAAATGTCTGCTCTGATATCTAATATAATTTTCAAACATGGGGGAGGGGGTAAAAGTCTACAGATATTGATCTAATAACAGGGAGCAACCAGGTCAGGTCTGGTCAGGTCAGTATCACTATCAGGAAATGTTAGCCAACAACTTGCTGTCATGTCCTACTTAGACATGTTGTGTGTGAGAGACAGGGGATGAGAGTGTGCTGGTATGTTTCAGGCAGAGCTGGTATAGTGCAGAGTTACACACACTCAGATCAGCTTGCAATCACGCACAACCGCTCCAACACACACACACAAAGCACATGCACACACACTAAGATCAGTTAGATTTGCTTGGCAACCCTATCTCCTCCAGCATACAGCAACACTTAAAGTAGATTGCTCAAACAACATTGGATGCGTTGTCGTGAAACTAAAAATAGGCTAAACAGATATGACATTTTGCTTTGTATTTGCTGGTTTAGGATTTGTTGCTAAAATGTAGTTAGTAAAAGAGTAATGTGCTGATTTACCTTGTTTGACTTTTGACATAAAAGGATCAAAACCGAGAATTAGAAATATCATTTTTTATATACCAGGCATTCTTCTTTCTTGTCAAAATGTGGCGCTTACATTACCAACTTAATATCCAACTTGACGGCCAAAATTTAGGTATGTTATACTCGTAGCCGCTAACTTCAAGCAGATAAGAAATTGGCTTCAGAGGTCTGGTTAAACTCACTTCTGTCCATCTCCACATGCCCGGATTTCTTTTCATTTTCAGACTTAAGTCCCAGTTGAAACTGACTCAAGTGACATCACTTAAGGCAATTTATCAAACTTCACACAGCTCCCTCAGGAGACAAAAGGTTTTATATATCTTTTCTCACATATGCAGTAGACCTCCTAAAGACCTGTAAACATGTGTCAATCATGTGTAAAATATGTGAAGTTAATGTAACTGTACCCCTTTGACAGATTAGCTAAATTACTTTAGCAGTTAAGTTATATTGATTTTATTAGACTGTCTTTTAATATGATCAGAAATGGTTGGCTGTATATGGATAAACAAGGACAGGCTTGGTGAGAAAATAATTTCATGTTTGTGGATTAAACAAACATTTTAAATAAGCTGGTTTTGTTGGGCTTTCATGAGATAAAGTCTGTCAACATTCACATATTGCACAATGTGCTGAAAAGATAAACGTGACAACGTGATAACTTTGCAGTAGTGACAGGTCTGAAGAACGACCTAGAGCAAGACTAGACAGGTTGCATGTGTATTTTAGTAACTCTCTTGATGTTCAGTTTAAATGTTGCTGTCAGTAAAGTTTAAGAATCGGACAGAGATCAAATCACTCCTTTAAGTTTCATGCTGTGATTTTGTTTGTGAATTTGTCTGTCTGGGGATTCAGATGACAGACAAGTCTTGTTGTCTTGGTCTGCCGAACATGACACCTGTATGGCTGAATGCATCTGAATGGAAGTAATATCTCCCCCCCGTCTCTCCTGCTTTCCCTCTCTCACTCGCTTTCTTTTGCTGTCGTTGGCTATCAGTCTTTTGTTGTAGAGACGATCATGGCTGCCATCAAAGAAGCCAGATGAAAGGAGGTCTCTATCTTCACCTCTGTCCATCTCTCCTCACCCCTCTCTCTTTGTCTCTCCCTCTCTCTGTGATTTCACATCCCTCCCCTCATCTGAACAATGAACAGAGCCAGCCACCTGTTCTTACCAACCGTAGTTGTTACTGTAGCATGACTTCACTTCCAGAAACTGATTATGAAGTCATGTTTATGTTGTTCAAGGATTCTGATTTACTTTAGTTACATGCACTTGACTTTTCCTATGTGGATATATCATAATTATCACAGATGAAGGAAAGCCTTATTCGGTGTTGTTCTTTATTGACAAAAAAAACCCCAACTCTTTTCCCAAACCGTCACCTTACTTTGTCATAACAACATATGAAATACATTATAGCTGAAATAGATAAGACGACAGAAAATATATCAACTATGCAATTTTTACAATCATTAACTGCTGAAGTAAGCATACAGTTTTCAAGCGATGCCAAAATTTTACTGGTTACAGCCCTCAAATGTGGGTATTTTTTGGTTCTGTACACTTTGAATATATTCAGATTTGAACTGAATTGTCACTATTTTCTGACATTTTATAGACCAAAGTATGCAGATTAATCAGTAATGGTTAGTAGCAGCCTTGAATTAAATCAGGATTGTTACGTATAAATCAAAAAGCTAAAGCACTTCAGTCTGGTAAAAAATTGTTTAGTTGTTGTAGGTAGCCAACTTACTTACTTCTTGCACTTATTATCTTCATTGTACAGGTGCACACACACATGCATGTGCAGACATACATACATACATATGGTCTTTCTCTCATGCATACATCTATCTGTGATTTATGGGGTATGCGGCTCTGGGTTCATAAAAGCCATGATTTCCCATAAAATGTCAGTGAAGGTGGTTAATATGACACGTGGAGGGTGTGTGTGTCTGCACCCAGTGTAGCAGCTGAAAGCTAGCAGTCGTGTAAAATATTGATATTCCATGTGTAAATGTCAGAATGAGAGACTACGTGTAGTGGCGCTCAACTCCACCGGTTTAGAGTCCACTCTTCCTTCTGTTAAGTTATAACAGCTGATCACTGCCAAATATTCAAATGGCCTGTCTAGTCTATTGCTGCTGAAATAATTGTGTTCTTTCTTACATATGTGTGTGTTTTTGTTTCCTTCAGGATGCTACTGGAGAAGAACTCAGGGGCGCGGCTGTTTTTTTCTGTGACCGCGTCTGAGCAGGCAGTCACCCTGCGGTATGGTCAGTACAGCAGTCAGACTCTGCAGACTGTCAACTTCAGAACTGAGGGGAGGCTTACACTGGACAGGTGGACACACCTAGTTCTGCAGGTAACAAATCTCAAGGGTTTACGGGATCCTGATGGTAGCTTGACTGCCCTGCTAAACATGCCATAGTCGGTCACTATGAGACGCACATGATTATAAACATGTGTGTATGTACATCCATTGTTTGTGTGCATTAAATTCATCATTCTACCTTAGAAGTAAAGTATTTCTGATTCCTATTAGTAGCACCATCAGGATTGTATTTAACTGTTGCCGTAATGGTTGTAAAAGCAGACTGGTCTCTTTTCTGTCTCTCACTCTTCTTCTTTGTCTGTGTTTCTCTTTCATTCTCTGTCCATCTTTTTCTCCTCTCTTTGAGCTAGTGGTAATTATACTAGCAAACATCTGCTTTGGCACAGCTGCTGGGGTCAGGGTACAAACACATTACATCAGACACACATACACAGATAACATTTCAAAATGTCCTGTATGGAAAACTAGCTGCAGAGCCCCAGGAACTGTTTTAATTTTACTTATTTTATCTGTCCAGGTCTGTGGTTATTTTCTATGGTTTTCTGTGTAAAATACAGAAATTGATGTTTTCTTTCTCTAAGGTTGTTTAATTTTGTTGCTTGGATGTGTTTCTAATTGGTGGTTGTTTTCAGATTTGTATAGATAACATAGTATTTTGTTAACTTTGTTATCTATTCAGGAGTTGTTGAGTCGAGTTGCGATCCCGTGAATACAATTTGGTACATTCAGTTTCAATATAAGAATGTAAGGATGATTATAACATAATTGTTTACAGAAATAAATCCTGTTCCAGAGTTGTGGATCAGTGATATTAGATTATTTTACAGCATCTGTTTGTGTTAGTATGGAGAACCTTGTTGCATGTTTAAAGGAATGCTAAACACAAAGATGAGAGTATTTACCTTTTCACCGAACCATAGAGAATTGCAGATGTGTTGAAGATGTCAATTTATGTGGTGTATATACTACAACAATGTATGTATTTGTGTTCTTTATTTTCCCTTTTTTGTTTCTTCAGAGCCAGTTGACCTAAGTGGCACATCAACTAGAAATTTTAGAAGGCATCAGAAGTCAGAAATACAAGGCCGTCATGGACAGAAAGAGGCATTCATTAGCTCTGATCATTCTGAAATGGCAGCAAGTGAAGTGGAGAGAGTCTTGAGGCCCCAAATGAATCCGTGTGTGTGTGTTTCTGGTCTGTTGAAGAGTATCATTTGACAGATTACTCCATTGGATAATCTTTCTCTTTCAGCATCTTTGAATAACACCAGGGCTAGTAGGGTAGAAAACACGGTCACCATGGCAAGCCTTATCACTAAGTGCTTAAGTTGTTTGTTTGTATACTTTTTTAAATTGCGTACATGCATGTTTGCATGGAAAGTTTTATTTGACCTGGCAAGAATTTAAATAGGTCATATTACAGATATTACATTTTGTTAACTGTTTGATTGCCAGTCCCTGACACATTTAGTTCTATCCCATTGCATTGATAATGGCATTAAATAACACTCAAATAAAATCCATGTCTTAGATGATAAAAAAAAGAAATAATTATAAAACAAACGTAATCGATTTTGCCTGGTGGGTGTTCAGCAGTTTGGATTTGGATTAAACGAGATCGAGCAAGTTAATTAATAAGATTGAGAGGTTTGTTAGCTGTATTTTTTGTTACTTTAGAGAGAACCAGTCTATCTGTTTTGCCCCTGCTTCCAGTTTTAATGCTAAGCTAAGCCAATCATCTTAAGACTCTAGCTCTATACTTAACGCACAGACATGAAAGTGGTATTATGTTTTTCATGTCACTTCCGGCAAGACAGTGTATAATAGAAATTCACAAAATGTAAGATACTAAAATATAAAAAAATATATTACTGACACGTTATAAAAAAGATATAAAAAAGTGGCCTTCCTTGACTAGTAGTCTATTGCAAATAAATAAGTAACCTGTTTTTCTTGTTATCATAAATTATTATTAATTTGTTTTGATTAAGTAACATTTTAAAATTATGTTTGCAGTAATTACTTTTTTTAATCTCTTAATCTCACTTCTTTATGATTTCTTTGCATTAATATCCTATTCTGTAATAAGTGCAGTATGTTTTTAAAAGAGAGAATGGAGGTTCCAAATGCAGGTAGATAAAGGAGTGTACTGCATATCAAAGGGAGTTTGATTTAAAGCGGTGATTCAAGGCTGGGGGGTAAGTGAGGAAGTTATACATGTTGACCACTACTTAAAATGTATTGTGCCTAGTTATGAAATACAACATGACAGTTTAACAGTTTACTGGCTGGCTGATTGGTGTTGATGCCTGGTTACAGTAATGTGGCAGTCAAACGTGTTGTTGGCTAAATGTAGTGTTGCTGATGGCTCAATTGCTAACAAGTGTACAGTATGTGTGTATGCCCTGTAGGGATCAGGTTTTTATATATATCTGTGTGCAGTATATGTGTGTTAAAAATCTCCATGTAGGCACTTAAAAGTGTATGGTTTGTAGATATTTTGCTTGTGTTGCACTACTTTGGCTTGGAAGTGTTTTAAAACTTTGTGTGTATGCGTTGTTTCATTCTTGTGAATCAGTCTGCCTTTCCTTTAATGGTATGATGATGTGATCTGCTTTGACCATTCAGAAGAATAACATAATCATCCTTGACACTCAAACAGCATTCGCATACTCCCATTCTCATGCATGCACACACACTTATCTGCTCGCTCTCTCGCTCATACACACGGATACACACTCACACACTCACAGTTCAGCTGTAATTTGTGGCAGACTTGTCAGCCACAATACAGACATTACCCTATGAAGGAGCTGGGTAATTTAGAAACCTTTCTTGCACACATACAAAGTACTAACATACACCTCTCTCTCTCTCTCTCTCTCTCTCTCTCTCACTCACTCACTCACTCACTCACTCACTCACTCACTCACCACTCACACACACACACCAGTCATCTGTCGGTTTGAAAAGATCAAAACACTGAAAAAGACAGTCAAAAGGAATACGGGTTTCCAAGTGCCAGGAGCAATTCACACACACGCACACATGTACACACACAGTGCCAGGAGCAAGGTGCTGTAGGGATGCTGGTGCTCCCTAGGTAGTTGTCTTATCTGATTATGGTAACGATGTAGTGACTAGTGGAGGAAAAGGTAGCCTAGGGGAGGGAGGGAGGGACTGGGAGAGGGGGAGAGATGGGGAAAGTGATGGAGGTGGCTTAGTGTAGTTAAGTGATGGTTACTTAAATCAGTTTACTGCACGACTCACTTTCCTGCACATATCTGCAGAATTTATTACTAATCAGTAGCGCTGTTTATACGCAGAAAATTATCTTTCCTACTGCTGTGGATGAAGGAGAGATGGATACAACTGGTGTTAAACTGGCTGATGATCTTCATGTAATTAACATAGCTTGCTTTCTTGGTGGGTGTTTTTCTTTGTCTGAAGTGCCTCATGATTGCATAAGAACAGCATTGGGTATTGACACCTTGGACTCTAGTTTTACAATTAGCTGCCTGCATTGTCCCCATTACCACTAAAATTGGAAGATGGAGACAAAATGTTGCATTGCTTTATATTAGTATATTAGTCTGTGTTGACTCTAAATAATTTTTTAATGAACTTGAGGATTTTCTTTTTGTGTGTGCATCTTCATTTTGCATTATAGTGAAAGGGGAAGCAACATAAAATCAGTATAAAAACCTGATTGTTGAAAATGTGCTGCAAGTCTTCCTAGTAGTAGGTGTCAGTATAAAGAGGTACAGAGAGATAAAGAGAAAAAAGTGGCGAAAAGAGACCGCAAAAGATGGAAAGACGAGAAAGGAAAAGAGTTTCACGATTTAAATAGCTTTGGAGTACTATCTTTTGGAGTACCAGTGATTGACTGTGTGCCTGGAGGACCCCCAGAGGGGTCCGTCTGTTAGTGCCTGAGCAAATCAGCATTATCGGATGAGGCAGTGGCAGGGACAGCCAGTCACACCGGTCCCATCACGACCCAACACGGTAGCATGAATGTTTAACACTAGTGTGTGTACACACACGTACACACACTCTCTTTCTTTCCCTTACTGTTAAACACATGAACATGCTACTGATGTACACACTGCCTCTACATACACACAGATAAACAGCTGGTTGCTTCTAACAGAATTGTTAGGAAAGGATGAAAAAAGAGGATGCATGGGTCAGTGTCTGTCATAGTGAACTGAGGTCAAGTGAAAATTATACACACACACACACACACACACACACACACACACACACACAAACACAAACACATTCATCTATGTATATATTGCAGGGAGTGAACATGTTGTTCCTATCTAATCTACAATTTGTTCTCTAGACCCTGACAGCTCATCTGCTTCACTACTCTGCTCTTAGACACTTAGGCTGCTAAAACCTCAACTGAATGCCATAATAAGCTTAATGAATGTTTTCATGCACAATTACACTGGAAGACTCTGGCCTGTGTGTCGTCTGTAGGACTGGTTTTGTCTTGGCAGAAGAACTACTCTTCCAACTGATCTGAAACCACCACAGTCTTTCCATCTCTCTTTCTTTCTTGCATAGATGCATGTGCACATGCCTCATCGCCCCGCTCTATCTGAGACCGTTTTTTGCCTTTCTTTCTTTGCTTTCCTCTTCTTTGTCCTTGGTCTGTTTCTCCTGCAGGCTCTGCTTTCTCTGCAGTCTTATTCTATTCTTTCCCCCCTCCTCTTTATCTTCCTTACTTCTCCTCACCTCTTTCTCTGTTTGTGACATATGCAGTAGCCGAAGTTGTGCTTAATAGTTTGTGTTTGCTGATTTCTGGCCAAAAGGCCAAATTGTGAGAAACACACGTGCAGACTCACAGCACACCATCTCATATGCGTATTCACGTGCTTTTCTCTCTGTCCCACCTGGAGTGACAAAGATAGATTGTGATACTGACTGAAAGCGAATGTGTATGTGTAAATGCATGTGCATGTGCATAGACCTTGTGTACATGCATGGAGGCACTTTTTGTGCATGTTTCTGCAGGCTCC